CTACCTATATATATATATATATATATATATTTTCCATGATATATAAAGCAAACATTAGTTTATTACACAATATTATACAAAATTGACAGTTCTGTCTGGCGGTTGTTTATTAATTTACCTCCAATGTCAACAGTGTAATTCTCACTCCGGAGTGACATGATGTTGCACGACCGTGTATTCGACCGACCAGACTGCTTAGCGACAGAACAGATGACCGATCTATGGCACGAACGAAGTGCGACTGGTACAAAACGCGCATGCATAGAATGCGCCAGCCATCGAATCAATACATTTACAAATGAGAAAAGAAACAGCTTCGTCATTGTTATCTTGATGTAGTAATCTGTTTTTCTGATAATATCGTAGTTTCATTATCACGTGACAGAATTACTCAACGACGAATGAAATTGCTCGGAATAAATGGGCCAGACATTTTTAAATCTACTATTCAAGCTGCTAAAAATTCTAAATCAAAGGAAATACTTGAAGAATGTTATTATATCTATTATTTTTAATGTTCCATAAAATTATTTTAAAGTAGATATATCTAATACTAATGTAATTATTGATCAGAGCAAGTGAGAGGCTTGGAATCTCGAAATAGAACCTCTCCTATGTAGTAATTCGTCATTGAAATTATCTTTTCCATTCTCTCATCAGATGGCGCAAAACGCAGATATACTAATTAGAACATTGGCGGTGTTTTTAATTATTAGTATTATTGCTATTGCAATGATTTTAGGAACGTTTCAATTTTAAAATATTTTTAGTTATTGGGTAAATAACCAATATATAACAATCTCAATATAATTCTTTATTTTAAATCATTTTTATTTTAAATCATTTTTACAACTAATTATTAAGATAAAATAATTAAGTTGTAATTATATTAATTATATCGCGATAGGATAAATTGTCATTTGGGCAATTTTATGGTTGAAGCATATTATATCTTTATCATTTTTATTTGCCAAAAATTAAATACAGTCACGCGCTTTACAAAATAATATTGGTTTAAATAGCGACATTTCCAATTTTAAATGCAGATAGCAATTTTAAATGCATTAACGCAAATCAATTTTATATTTATAAATTTTGAATCTGTATATATTTACAAAACTAACATCGTTAATTAACTATAAATATAACTTTCATATTCTTTAAATAATCGTATGATTAGCATTTTTTTTTATTCTGAACTGTCTCTCATAACTTGTTCAACTAGACAACAAAGTCCAAAATTGGGACATAAATCACATCCCATTTTTGGATGTGCAAGTTGTCTGATTATCGCCTCTCTGATGGCAGAGCCACATTTACGTTTACTATGGATAATTAAGCTCCCACCATTGGCAGTGATCTATTTATCGCGATCAGAGGCACTTTAATCATTCCATCGCTATTTTTCACACCTTCGAATTGTGCGTCATCAACGTTGTTCGTTGTCACGAACGACGTAACGGTTTGCATAAGCGATGGTTTAGTATTTGTCGGTCTTGTAATTCGCTCGATTTTTCCGGCGCGATCCCAGCTCGTCTGATTTTCGCGAGTCCGCGTTGCATCATTCGCAATGATCCGGGAACTGATTTTCTGCGAGAAAATCGCGTTACGATCATTCTGCATATCATTAGCCGTGCGCACTCGTAATCGTCGCCGGCGCGTTCTAATTGTGGCCATAGTATTATTTTCATCATTCTTTATAACTCTCGCGGTAGTGCTCCTCGGCGTTTCGATCGTAGTCGAGGTTGTTTCGTTCAAACGACGATTTCCACTGTTGTCGGCGGACGCGAGCGAGTCTGTGCAATTTGGTGGTGGTTCTCGATGCAGGTACGTGATCGGCCAATGTCTGCCGTAATAATTAGGATCATACGGATGATCGGGACGATCGTAGCGATCTTCGCCACCGACCATCGGTCGGAACGGTCGTGGACTCGGTAAATAGGGATAGTACTTTTCGCTGCAAGGTCGCCATTGATCTTCTGATAATCCCACATAGCACCTGCAATTTATTAATTTTTAATTCTCTGCTTCTATTTACAAAGCACAAAGGAATCGAAGAAAGCTGTAAGATGAGAAGTAACAGGTCACGCCTCTTATAAATCAATGATTCAGCTTTGTGTACTTAAACACAGGATAAAATCATTCTTATCAAAATAAAAAAAAAAGAATATTTTCTTTATCATGTCTAACATAAATATCAATTATGAAATTTGAGATGTAAAAAGAAAAGTAAAAGTATATTACGTTGATATATCGGATTGTACTAATATAGGTACCATGGATAATGATATCCTTGCGAAAAGCCGCAATGATGAGTCGGTGCGCAACAATAGTCCCAGCTGTCGAATCCGCCTTCTTCAGTCTCGCAAGCCCAAAATCCAGCGAGTTTATTTTTTTCGCACTTTGTACCTCTTTTACATGGATAACCGTTTACCGTGTAGTAACGGAAAGTGGAGAATTCATCCGCTGATTTAAAATAAATTAATTACTTTACGCAACATTTTACGAATAATTAAAAAATTCATAATTGTCAAACTAATCCACTCACGGTAAAGAGATCCGAATCCACCGAGATAAATTCCGTATCCGAATTTGTCATCACCGTATCCATAACTACCAGAAGGATACGGTCTGACAGGATCAGGCTTATCAGGATCGAACGGTCTCACACTATGACTGCCTGGTTTCATAAAGAAAGGTCTTGGATCGATATAAATATCATCGGGTCTTAGACTTGGATATCTTCCGAGATTAAAATCAGGTCGCGAATGATCTGAAAGAACTGATTTCGGCGGATTTGGTCCACCAAGTCCGTGAGCATCATCTGGAGAATAACTGGTCATCACACAGTAAGGATCGAGATCTTTCCATGTGTAAAGAACATGATCATTGTCATAGGTATAGTCTAGACCTGGTCGCAAGTCCCTTATAGGTACGTCACTGAGCAAACAGTTTTCTTCTGTGCCATGCGTAGTGAGCCTAATCAAACGAAGGGGAAATCAAACGAAATTAATGTGTGTTAATAAGAATTAAAGATAAATAATATTATTTTGAAATTTTTATTTAAAAAAAAATAGAAAAATGGCTTTATTATTGATTTTATTTAAATCACGAGTGAAAACAAATTTCAATTTATAAGAAATTACATATTATAATTATTATTATTAGAAACGTGCATGTTGTTATATTAATTTGTTAAATTCAAAACAACATCCAAGAATTTCTTACTTGTAACTGTAAGACAAGCAAGGAACGGAATCAGTTTCTCTCATTTTTGAACACTTTTGTCGACAATCTTGTTCTGAATTTACATACGTTGCCAAAAGAACAGCATAAGGTGTCAATTTGCACGGTTTGTCGTATCCAGAATAGCATACTGTGAAAAGATTTATTAACAGAAAAATTTAATTGATTACAATTATATTCAAACATAAAATAGTTAATATAATGTATGTGCATTAGATTGATGTATCTTGCCTTCGTCTCCTTGCGTTTGTTTATTATTGAACCGTTCCATATTGAAAAACGGTACAGCATAAGGTTCACATCCTCTGCCGAAACTGCCTCTTTCATAAACTTCTGCTCCGTCCATATCTGGCATGTGGGTAGGGTTGATATCTTGCGATGGCCAATCACTTAAGTAACAGTTAGTTAGAACATCCGATCGTCCATGTTCTAATTCATATCTGAAACATTTCGCAATATACAAGATGTAACTGAAATAACGCCCATTAATCATATGTGCTATTCCTATTTCTATTATATAATAAAAAACTGAGACGAAAAGTCCTCTATCATTTTGCAATTTTCGCAATATTTTTTTTAATTACCCAATGAGCAATATGTATAAAATTGTGTGTATAAGACAGCTTTAAAACATCTTCAAGACTTCTTTAAGAAAAATCTTCATAATCTTTCACAAAGAACATGAAAAGATATCTTAAAATTGTACACCTTGTGTAATATTGGATTGTCCGGAAAGTTCATGCTGATGTTGAAGGAAAATTGAAATGCAGAAAATTTAAATTTTAGTATACATTTATTAAATTATATAGATTAGTCAGCACGAACTTTCCGGACAACCCAATACTTTACTAAAACAATCCATTTAATTTAGTCTACTGTTGACTTCGACATGAAAGACTTACTTGAACGTGAAACTTCTACACATAAAATCGTGCGTTGTCATACATTCTGCCTGACACTCTCCTAGATCGTTGACTATTAACGATTTTCTAACGACGTCCGTGGGCATTGCAAATCCACTTCTGACTCTCCAAAAACATTCTAGAAAAATTTCATAAAGAAAAACAAGTTCTTGTGACTCTCGAGAATTTTATCAAACTGGGAAAGAGAGAAAGAGAGAGGCAATTCATTGTTGTCGATTTTAGTTGTTACCGGGAACACAAAGCGGAACGCATAATGTATGGTAATGCAATCGAGGGCAGTAGTATAACGCTCGAGACGATAAATTGCATTGTTTGTTGAAAGACAATTTTATTTATCCCCTGAGTAGTTTAGGAAACGGAATAATACATTAAAAATTATTTTGATTAAATTGCATTTGTATAATTAAAAGTAATTCACAGTAAAGTTACTTCAATCAAATCGTATACCATCTGGAGGATGCGAGCTTGGTTCTCTCCTCGTGCTGCATGTTCTTGAATTGGCGATTATAGCGTAAATATCATAATCACGATCAGGTTCGAGATCAAAATAAAAATTCAGATCTTTGTACGAAACATCGCTAAGAAGACAATTGTCTGTTGGATCCGTGGGCGCTACATTGTATCTATCCAATTATAAATTATGTAAAAAATTAAATTAGTATTATATATGAATTTGATACTAAAGGACCCTACATTAATTATTATATATGGAAAATTCGATTTCGGTGAAGTCAGTTTCATATATAAGTAGTTCATAATGATGAATAAAAGATGTCATCGACAAGGCTTAACAATAGGATAATTTTTTAGTTGGTGTATAAAATTTATACTTACAGAGCATCTTTGATACATCGTAGCTCAAGAATTAATCCATTATTGATTCTATGATATCTTTTGTTCACAATATTGCTATATTATGTGAAAACAAACTGGTTTTTGATCAGTATCTAATTTTCTATGTAATTAATGCGAGGTCCTTTGTCATATTACTGAAAATAATCGTATTGTAATTTTTCTATTATGTGTTAAAATATACCTGTAGCTAAAACTCATGCAGACATAGCTCTTCTCGCTAATGCACAGATTTTCGCACTGATTCAGATTTG